CAATGCAATATAACTGTCCAGTTCCTGGATGCTAGAGAAATAATTTTTAAGGTCAATTATTTCAAGCCCAAAATATTAAATCATAGTTTTTTTAAAGTGAAGAAACACAGTCCTTAAAAAAAGTTAATTTTTATAAATCTTGGCATTCTTTACATGATAGGCCAGAAGGAAATGCACCTATACTTAAATATTTTAATGTAAGTTCCTTATTTCATGCTTTTACTCCAATCATTTTGATGGAAAATAATTATTTTTAAAAGAATTATTGATCTTTTTATATAATGGTAAATTCCCAGAAATTTGCATATATACCTATATTAAAAAACATATGATTTATTCAGGACCTTCACAAAAATAACTGGACAGCATAAAAATAGCTTTTAAACAATTCAAAAAATGTACAAATCCAGTAAGATGAATACTGAAATCTAATCGGTATATTATGATTATAAAAATCAATATATGAAAATAAAGAGTATCATGTAATGATTATATATGTCTACATACATGAAATGTATATTTCATAAGATCATATCATTGTGTAATGAAATAATTTCACTAAACAGGATATTCCTTACCCAGTTTTATCTGAGAATATATATGTTGCGTTACTTACTCAGCTAACAGAACAATTTCAGTACATTCAAACTAACCTTCCAAATGCATTAAATAATGATACTATTTCTTGTCTGGTTAGATGGAATTCATAACTGGGTCCACTTTCTGGCATATTTGCTATCAGTTTCTCAGAAAACAAGATCTTCAGAGCAGTGCCCAAACCCTGAGTCTATAATAGAAATAAGAAAAAATGAAAAATAAGGAAATTCTTTGTGCAAAGGATGAATGAGAGATAGGACTGGCTAGATTTGCTTACCTGAAGCTTTCCCCACAGTCGACATTTAAAACAACCAACACAATCCATGATTCTTGAAATATTTCTAAAATGCAGTCGAAAGTCCTCCTAAAAACAATTTAACAAAATATTAAGATATAATACATAATCAACTAATAAGTATTTTCTGAGTGCCTTCTATGTGCCTAACACTATGTAAGGTATTATGGGATACCAAAAAGGGAAGAGAGGCCGGGCGCCATGGCTCATGCCCATAACCCTAGCACTCTGGGAGACTGAGGTGGGAGGATCATTTAAGTTCAGGAGTTCGAGACCAGCTTGAGCAAGAGCAAGACCCCATCTCTACTAAAAATAGAAAGAAATTGGCTGGACAACTAAAAATATATAGAAAAAATTAGCCGG